GACAGTCACTTCTACAGTATCCCATTAGAAACAGTGTGTGACAGTCATTTCTACAGTATCTCATTAGAAACAGTGTGTGACAGTCATTTCTACAGTATCTCATTAGAAACGGTATGTGACAGTCACTTCTACAGTATCTCATTAGAAACGGTATGTGACAGTCACTTCTACAGTATCCCATTAGAAACAGTCACTTGTACAGTATTCCATTAGAAATGGTATGTGACAGTCACTTCTACAATTTCCCATTAGAAACAGTGTGTGATAGTCACTTCTACAATATCCATTAGAAATGGTATGTGACAGTCACTTCTACAGTATCCCATTAGAAACGGTGTGTGATAGTCACTTCTACAGTATCTCATTAGAAACGGTGTGTGACAGTCACTTCTACAGTATCCCATTAGAAACAGTGTGTGACAGTCACTTCTACAGTATCCCATTAGAAACGGTATGTGACAGTCACTTCTACAGTATCCCATTAGAAACGGTATGTGACAGTCACTTCTACAGTATCCCATTAGAAACAGTGTGTGACAGTCACTTCTACAGTATCCCATTAGAAACGGTATGTGACAGTCACTTCTACAGTATCCCATTAGCAACAGTGTGTGACAATCACAGCTAAGTGTTGGTGATTAAGCTCCAAATAACAAGTAGAAAATCTCTAAAGTCACAGAGTTGTGTGGTGTTGGACATATGAGAATAATGACATCAATGTTATGTAGCAGAGACAAATGGAGAAACAGATAATCAAACAGAGTAAACCAAAAGTTTTACTTAAATATCACAATTATCTGTTTGTTATAAAATATTTTAACTTTGAATTCAAATATTAGCATTATTAAAAAAAAAAAATGAAAAGAAAGGACGAGTTCTATATTCTGAATGAACTATTTGGCTGGCTATCCTAGAAAAGAATGATTTAAAGAAAACTATACCTTGGTATAAGATCTTCCAGAGTGTCAAGCACAGCTTGTAAAGGAATACCATCCGAGGGCCACGAGTTCGAATCAACTAAGTTTACTATGTGATTGAACACCGAGAACTGGTAATCAAAATCTAGCATCCTCCAAAACCCTAAAAACAAAACAAAAATCTGTAAGACTGGATGGAGTAATATAGAAATCAAAATCCAGATTCCTTTAAAACTCTGTCTTGTTCGTTACATGTTCCCTAATTACGTGACAATAAATCTTATGTTTACCACATAATTTCATTCAATATCGTTTGGTTGTTTTCTTTAAAAAACATAGCATTAGTCAGTATGTGGTACTATTAATGTAGACCATTAATAGTGTAATTACAAGTCAATACAGTAGTTTGGGAGGTTAAAAGATTTATAGAGCACATGTTGCTAACTCTTTCGGTTCTGGTAACTTAAACACGATACTCCTCTTTCTTCAGAACCATCATTTGTGACCTACACACGTCGTTAATACAACCTTATACTTAATGTGACCATAACACTCACCATCAATACAACATGCCTGCAATTCTCGTAGAGCTGTTTGAAGTTCTTTCGGACTAGCTTGGATCACGTTCAATAAATCTTCAAATGTGTACTATTGTGAGAGACATTTATTAACACATAAAATAAATGGTAATTTTGATACTTTTAATTTTTCAGTTTCATACTAAGTCAACGTACAGAACGAGAATAAAATTACTGTCTATAAAGTAATCGTGAAAAGAATCATAACATCTAATAAAACAAGAATGTATAATACAGTAAGTCGGATATTTATAAATAATTCTAAATTCTTTAAATATCACCCTAATAGTGATCATGTACAAAACTTTTCAAATAAACCCATTTTTCCAATACTCATGTAGGATACAAGTACGCATTTCAATATTTTCATATAAAACATGGAATCTAAATAAACCATGAGGTCCTAAGATTTCTCAGCGTCAACAAGTTGGTGATCCAATATGTAAATTAGATTGGATTTAAAAATTTAAAATATTCAATTATCTCAAATGATTGTCGTTTAAGTCAGGCACACAATCAAAATTTAGACTTCCATTCTCAACCACAACTACGTTTCAGTCGGTAGAGCACGATATTGTACCAGAAAAGTAAATCTAATTAACAGTTATCACCACTTTGATTAGTGTAAGTCGTTACTTGAAAACTGGTTCTTCAGAATGTCACTTGGGTTTTGTTAATTATAGTTTTGTAAGGTTTATAGAAAAAATTGTCAAGTTTGTTGTTAAGTACGCAGCTATCCACCACAGACATCAAAACAGTTAAAACCCTTCACACTTACTGTTGAGCCCCTGGGGGCAGTTGTTAGTGACTACCTCTAATATTCCTGAGTGTTTATCAAGAAACTTAGAATAATAAATAAATTATGAAATTTTAGATTTACACTTGTTTTAAAAAAAAGGTCAGGTTGCGAGAAAAATTACAGGACAGAAATTCTAACTAATTGTTATGACAAGAATATGTTGAGAGTTAAGCAGACTTAAGTTAACTTTTCCTGTTTTTTTTTCTAAACAAAGCACAATAATTTTTATATTGCTCTCATCCCATAAACCACTCGCCCCTCTTCAATGACCATATTGGCAAAGAAATTCAAAATACTGCGTGCACCAGTTGTTTATAAAATATGGTTAACCATTCCCTAACATCGACGTTTTTGTTGTTAATCATTACCTTTACATCAACATTGTCTGCTTCGTACTCCTTCCCGGTGTAGAGATTTTCTTCCATCAGATATCTCAGTTTCTGAACTCTTGGTCTACAGAGATGAAGCTCAAGATAGTTGTGGAAGATTCCTGCCACCTTCATGATATTAATAGCTTACTATACGTACAAAACTTTTCAACGATGCATATGAAACGTAAAATAATCTCGAAATATGTGATAACAAAAATACAACACAATGGGAACTTATTGTAGAAACATACCAAATGCTTCGACAGTTCACATCACACAGATATACAAGACTGAGATTACTAACAATGATGATTAAACTGTCAATAAATACCAAATATCAGTATGAAATGAATATTGAATTTTGTACTAACTTTAAATAAAAAGGTCTGAATATCTAGATTTGGACTAACTTTTAATAGAAAGGTTTGAATATTTAGTTTTGGACTAACTTTAAATAGAAAGGTCTGAATATTTAGACCTTTCTATTTAAAGTTAGCCCAAAATTGAATATTTAGTTTTGGGCTAACTTTAAATAGAAAGGTTTGAATATCTAGATTTGGACTAACTTTAAATAGAAAGGTTTGAATATCTAGATTTGGACTAACTTTAAACAGAAAGGTTTGAATATTCAGATTTGGACTAACTTTTAATAGAAAGGTTTGAATATTTAGTTTTGGGCTAACTTTAAATAGAAATGTTTGAATATTTAGTTTTGGACTAACTTTAAATAGAAAGGTTTGAATATCTAGATTTGGACTAACTTTAAACAGAAAGGTTTGAATATTCAGATTTGGACTAACTTTTAATAGAAAGGTTTGAATATTTAGTTTTGGGCTAACTTTTAATAGAAAGGTTTGAATATTCAGATTTGGACTAACTTTAAATAGAAAGGTTTGAATATTTAGATTTGGACTAACTTTAAATAGAAAGGTTTGAATATTTAGATTTGGACTAACTTTAAATAGAAATGTTTGAATATTTAGTTTTGATTATATTAGAAGTTACACACAAAGCTACACAATGGGCTATCTGTGATCTTCCCAACATGATTATCAAAACCCAGTTTCTAGCATTGCAAGTCTGCAGACATGTTGCTGTGCCACTGGGGGGAGGGGGGGTAAGTTTTAGATTAAGTTTAAATAGAAATATTTGAGTTTAAAAGTTTAAAATAATGAGCTTTTAGTGTTACTAATTTTAAGAACAATTTTAGTGAGCATATAGTTTATATTAACAACTTTAGTTCTTTAATGGATGAAAAACATTTAAATTACTTTAAAAGTTGGCACAAGGAGTTTTAACAAAGTCAAATTGTGACTATGGGTTTCTCTAATCATTTTGTTATAATGTTGTATAACAGGTTTTCTTACACATGCTAGCATTAATTCACTTCGTCCAAAATAGATGCAGCCATTTTAAGCATTCTTCCTTGACGTGACATTATTTTATATGAGCTTCTACAGTTGCGTTTTTTGCTCTAAAGATAAGAATTCAATTCCAAAAAATAAAAAGTTCTCCTCATGAAACCTTACTCATTATTTTAAAGGTTGACAGAGATAATGACAGCAAATCACCTCAACTCAACACATGCAAGGGTTAATCCACTAACCTCTTGTGAAGCAATCGTTATCCCGTCATCCTTATCGTTTGTCTCCGCTTCATCGGGCCAGACAACTGACGGAAGCAACAGGAGAGAATTTGATGTGCCTGCTTCTTTAATATCATAGGTCTGAGTGTCTGTACATAAAACTGCAGGATCTGATTTATCTCCTCTGATTATAACTCTGTGAATAAATGTCATCTCATACTTGTACGTCAACTAATAAACAGTTCGAAACAATGCCTGAAGCTGCTTTACAAGCTAATTTTAAAAACGATAAATACCAAGGTTTAACCACAACAAATACCAATAAAAATACAAACTTTTATACATGTTTATGATGTAGAAATAAAGTTTCTTAATTAAATTTTTAAATATCAATTTAAAATGTGACAATTATTCAAATGAACAGCACAAACTAACAAGAAATTGGGAGACAAAATTAAAAAAATGCAAAATAAACATTAAAGAAAAAATAATTATCATAACTTCACTATAAACAATATAAAACAAAAAAAATTCATACAATAATACCAACCATTAAGATTGTATATACATAGGATTTCAAGTAGTGGAGGCAAAATAATTATGTTTTCATGTTGAGTTCAGGTTTTCAAATTGCTACGTAGCTTTTTAAAACCATTTCAGCTAATTTTAAATTCTACATCATATTTAAAATTGCCCAGGTATAGGTACAACATCTGTAGGTCTTTTCAAATAGTTATGGGGAAGGGGTCTTTTAAGGACATTAATATACCATGGGGGAGAGAGAGAGAGAGATAATGAATTATGGGGAAGGGGCTATAAAGGACATTAATATACCATGGAGGAGAGAGAGATAATGAATTATGGGGAAGGGGTCTATAAAGGACATTAATATACCATGGAGGAGAGAGAGAGATAATGAATTATGGCTGATCCAAGTTCTAAAAAAAGAGAAAGTGGCAGAAAAAAAAAGATTCTCAGTCAAAGTTGTTATCTTATTATTCATTCAAGAGTAATTTATTATATATTTACTTCATAACATTAGTCATGAAGTTAAAGTTTTTCCAACACTGAATCAGGAAAGATATATGTGAGATGAGGTTATGTATTGTATTGGAATATAACAATTACAGAAGGTTCCTCACCTTTCACCTTCGAGTATTTGATTTAATATGTCAGGAGTTACTTCCATTAGCTTAAGGTCTTCTCTTGTGAAATCTTGAGCTAAGTAAAAGGACTGGACAACTGGCTTTAAGTCTTCTTCATCAAGCTTTGCAAGATGTAGAAGCCTTCTAACATCTTCTTCGGTCCTGCTAAAAAAAAATAGCAAAAGGAAATTTGCATATTTTAAGCCATCATTTACTAACTTCATCCCTCGTTCCAAAACTACACATTCAAAAAGAATGCTCTACAGATGTATAAAGAATTTAAATACCTTTGAGAAAATAAATTAAATGTTTACCTAACCAAGTTGATGATAACATATATTAAAACATTTTTACTGATGTGTCAGTTTTGCCAGCTTATTGGTACACGTCAAGTTATTCCAAAGTGGAATGGAAACCTCGGCATTGATAAAAAAACAAAGAGAAACTTAATGACCAAATATTTTGTTATACTCCAAAGTAAACTTCAAATACAGAAAAAAAATCCAAGGCATTTAATTTAACCTGCAATGTTAGATTCGACCAATTCAACTTAAAAATTATTTGCTTACTATAAAGAACCACTATTTAATGAATATAAAATATTTAATAAACTTTGGTTCCTCGAGGCCACTATTAAAGTATACATATTGAAAAAGTTGTATTTGTACTCCCTCATTATAAACTAACACTAATACAGTTGAGTTAGTTTTAAAGATGCAATGCATTAGTAATTCATAAGGACAATCTATATTATATAAATAAGTTAAAATGGACAAAGTTACAAACACATCATAACTTATTGACATCCAACAATGTCAGGGCGGGATTAACACATGTGCCATGGATTTCTTAAGTTGTAAATAAACCAGGTGAGTAAGAGAAAAAGAAAATATTATATCACTATTACTAAAGTATTTTGATTTTGGAAATAAAACATTTCAAACAATGATTGTGTATCTACTGTCCTAGACAGAAATAACATTTCTGTGCAGAACTGGTCTTAATGCCACTTTCTGTGATTTAAATAACCGGTGAGACATTATATGCTGCATTCATTTTTCTATTCTGCCTTTAAACATTCAAAATGGTATATTTAACAAAGTTTTTACTGTTCTTGAGTTCAACTAGTCTGTAGATGATCTTTTAACCAGCTGTTCACTCAGAAGTGAGAGTTTTTATGTTGTTAATTCAATCCACGTGTTTAACCAAAGAAGCAAGTATATTGTACATATCACCATTCCAAAACAGTACAGGCAGTTCTCACATATATATATATGGGTAAATGGGAATAATGTTAAATTATTAAACCTCACTCCATTAGTATTAACAAATCCTATTGATCAAGCATATTTAAAGAAGGCTAAAAACTGACAAAGCTGTAATATTCAAAGATTATGGATTGTTTTTTGAAATGTGGGAAATATTTTTGTTGACATAAAATAATCAAAAAATAGTTAAGAAAAGAAAAGTAACTTAGGTACTCAGAAGTCACAAAATATATTTTTTTTGCTATTTAAATATTTATACAGAAACTTACCGTATTTTTACGCACTTTTTTACCCCAAAATGTGATGTCAAAATCTGCTTGTGTCCTATACACCGAAGGTATGAATAATATATATGTATGTATATATACGATATACACAAACCATGTGTAAATATATTTAAATAGGCATGCATAGTTTAGTTCAATTGAATGTGTTATTTATAACAATAGTAGTTTTTTCTTTTAAAAACATAACTATTTATAATGCTCCCTAAATAATACAAAAATAAATTATAGTAATGGAGTTAGTAAAGTTTTCTCCAAAACTTTGTCTTCAAAATAAGTGTGTGTTTTATATTCCGAAAAAATACAGTAACTCCCACGAATGAGAGGGGGTGTGAGAGCTCCAGGTTCTCTGTGCCAAGGGTCCCAAATTTTCTTAATCCAGCCCTAATATATTAACTGAATTCAGAGAACTTTTTAATTAACAGAAACAACAGAAAACTTCAGTTACAGGAGAAACACTTAATTAGACAAGCAAGTGTCTGTTTAGCCCACGTTAAAAGTCAACTAGATACTTTCAGCCTTGTTTCATACAATATCTATTAGAGAACATGAATATTTCATTAATCACTCACATTGACAATTTCAGTAAAGTTTTCCTGGCTAATAATCATAGTTTGAAACAATAAAAACTTTATAAGTGTTACATTTCTAGTTTTTATGATCAAAGTATATCTAAAACTGTTTTAGGATTACAGAAACCTTAACTTTCAGGCAATGTGATATATTTTGCAGTTTTTACTTGACAAACAGCTTTCTAAAGAACACTACAGTGAAAGCTACACTTGCTTAAACTTACCAAGCATTACCCTAACAAATAGGGCTAACCTGCGGTTTTATGAATAGTATATGTAGTCCTAAACTCAAGCTTTGGATTTCCTTTCATATTATTTATTTATTCAGATCTGAAAAAAATGAAATATTTATACAACCTGAAAGTATATCCAGAACTTAGTGTTACACGTAGTACAGTATACTTTATAATGATAGACTAATATATATATATATATATTATTAGTACTTATATTTATAAGTTATAGCAAGTCAATAGTTGGCAGGTTAGCCTTAGACTCGTACTCAAACAGTAACCCTAATTTGGTTGATGGATGGTAAAAGTGTTTATTTATCGATTTGATAACATATGTACGAGTTTGTATAAAATAAAAACACACTTTTCATTACATATTAAAAGGCGCACGCCTATACGTTGTGTAAATATAACAAAAAGTGAAGGGGAAAAATACCGAACACTAACTTACCTCACATTTCCCGCCATTGCCTCCTCTAAATCGTCTTCCTTCATATATTATCAAAGACCGATAGGGAAGTATTAAATTTAATACAGAATTAAGTAAAAATTAAAGTATATATTAAATACGAGTCCAAGTTATCTGATTGGAGGAAAGATTATTTCTAAAGAAGTATAGATGTCTTAAAAATGTTTTTCCTTGTTATTTATCATATTGTCAATATATATAGCATATATATATGTAAATGAAAACAGTTAGTAGTCCTAAGCTGAACAACTAAGAAATAAATTATAACCAAACTTTTATAGAATTATCCTAAATAACCTAAATTTCATTTTAAAGAAGTTTTAAACAGAAAATAGTAAACTATTAGTAATAATAATAATATCATTAATTTTAGCGCCATCTAGTAAGTGTGAATGACATTTGTCGAAAGGAACTTTTTTTCTTGCGAATTTATATGAATGTAATCAACTTTTGAATCATACACTACGAAATCTGCGCAGTGTATTAAAGTTTGAACTTTACCTAAACAAGCAATGTAACAGTTTGTTACTACTTTAAATAAACCATGACATCACCTGAGTTACTAGTTATTCTAAGAATTTATGAGTAAAATCAAAGAATAATATGTAATAACAGGTCAACCATACTATATCTGTTATATTCAGAGTCGACGTGGCCTTTCGTCCAATTATATGATGGCAGTAATGAAAGTTAACTGTACATACATTTAACAAATTAATATTTATAGCCTATTCAAAGCCTTATTTGGACCGTATATAAACTTGAAGGGCCCTGTTTATCTTATCTTGACCGCAAAATAAGAACCTTTAGTTTAGACGGTCAAGATAAGGTAGAGAGAGCCCCTGAAGTTCAGGAAGTTATAACATCTTGAGTTTTCAAAGGTTTGGCAATGTGAATATCTGAAACAGACAACATAACTATTGTTGTCTTTATAAGATTATGTGATTCTTATTGATATAACTGGTATATCCATAAGTACAGCTCTGAAAAAAAGAAAAACTTGAGAAGCATATTTGAAGTATCTAGTTTAAAACCATAAATTAAGCAATGAAATTATTATTGACGTGTCTTGTCTTATCAATTTTAAAATGTTAGAAATATTTTGATTCTCAAGGGCACTGAGCGTATCGGAAGGTCCAAGGTTCTAATCACAATATACCACTGATCACACCCCGTATTTTCAGTTGTTGAAGTATCATAATGTGACAGTTATTCCCATAATTCGTTTAACAATAGCCATGTAGTTGGTGGGTATTGTTGACTGGTTTGGCCCTCCATCTGGTGTCAGGAACTTAAATTAGGCACGATATGCACACACGTTAAGAAAACACGTAGATTTAAACACAAAAGACAAAAATAACAAACCCTATAATCCGAGCGCTTTCTAAAAGAAGAACGTTTCTTCATCAAGGACTAATTGGGATCTCCGTTCTGGCAATAAATAAGGTGTCCTTCAAGTTGACTTACCACGCTAAAATAAGGGTTCCCATAGTCATGGTGGGCATAATACAAATAGCCCATAGTGTAGCTATGTGCTTTAGAACACTGAAAACAACCCCAAACGTTCCAGTTGAAGATACTAAACTTCGAAGCCGAGTGTTATTCCATAAATACATCTAAAAATTACCATAGAATTTTATAGAGACTTCACTGATTTACTAAAAACAAAAATCTCGAAACAACAATTAAAAGTGTTATGCACATCAACAAAGTAAAATAACAAAAAAGCAACCGAAAAAATATTAAATTCAAACGACGCAATGTTTACCATCTGTTAGTAGTTTTGCTAATTTACAGTAACAACACAGCGATTTTAGGCTACGATGCGTGTCAGAAAACATAGCAGACTCTGGGTAGTTTGAGGGGGGAAAAAATAAACACGAGTGACGGATTATCTAAGCTGTTAGGTTGAAAGAAACACTACACAATAAATCTTTTCCGCGTTAGTTGTAAACATGACAATAAAAACTCTGTGTACATCCTGTTGAAATTGGTCCAAGATAAACTCAATTTTTTTTTTCAATTTCAGTTTTTCATCTTATGATAAGGACTGTGTTATTAGTGTTATATGATGGCACATATTTACTCAAGTTTCACAGAACTAAAAGAGAAACATCACTTGTTTGTGTAGTATTAAAACACGGGCTCATTTATGAATACCTAAATATTTTATTTTTTTGTGAACACATGGTTATTCAAGTTGTACGTGTGAAATCTTACCCTTCTCAGAACCGACACCAAAATGTTATTTTAATATTTCATTTTTAGATGTTTACATATCCCCCCCCCCCTCATTTCTATGTTTCTCACGGAATAAACTAACAATTACCTAGCCGGTGAATCAATACTGTATTAAACGGAAATATCAACAATTCGGGATATCCTTTTTCCTAACTTTATTTATATTCTTAAAAACTCAATAAAATGTAATGTTAGAAAAAAATATATTTTTAAGAGGTTTAGCTCTTAACTAATATTTTTTTGAGATTTTCATTTAATTTGAGTAAAATAGATTTTGAAAGTTCTTGAAAATATTTATTCCTCCCAGCAAGTGGGTGCTGCCGAGAAGCCGAGCGGACAATGACTGGTACTTATTACTTCAGTAACACCGAATCTTTCTTAGAAGTACTCACGAACGGATTTTTTTTTGCAAGAACTTCAAATATCCTGATTGTTATGGACCTTCTTCTAAATCATTTTCTGTACACAAAATTCGTCCTGAATTTATAAACATTAACTGATTATCTTACCTGGAAAACAATCCTATATTCTTTGAGATCTATGTTTTTCTTAAAATGTTTTTTAATGATTTGGTAAAAATTTAATTAATAGCTTATTTAATATTTTTATTATTTTCAAATATAAGAATCAACGTATAAAAACGTACGTACAGGTTTTCCAGGTTTGTCCTAGTGGTTTTTGTGCTCGGACTGTGAATTTTGAATCGATAGACTAAAATGAAGGCAACTATTCAACAACAGCCATTGTCAACTCTTGGTCTATCCTTGTCTAATCAAACAGTGGGATTCGACCGTCACTCTTATGACGCCTCCAAAGAGCGAAATGCGAGTTTTTGACAACAGAACGCGAACCATAAACCCTCAGATTCGCAATCCGTGTACGCTAACCTCTTAGATACGCCCGATTTCAGAGTTAATATGAATGAAAAGTGGCATATAAAATACAGTTTACAAAATGATAATTCCATAACTCATGGGATTAATATAATAATTAACTGTTAAAAGTACAAAAGAAAAACTTTAGATACGGATACAACCTTGGACATGAACAAAACTAGTGGTTTAATTTATCCTCAACATTAAACTTGATGGCACACAGAAACATGTGCTGTGATCTCGTGTTTGTATAAGTTAGGAAGTAATGGTATTGCACATCATCAGGAAATTCTAAGCACAATAAACACTGTGTTCAAGAGAAGCTGTGGAGCTTCAATTACTCTCACCTTATTTATACATTAGTGTTGAAAATTTAAAGCAAGCCATAAAACTGTCTTGAAAAGTTTAATTATACACAATTTCCATTTTACAAGACACGAGGTCAAACCTTGGAATGTATGCAACGTGAAATTTTCAGTCTAGTTTGTGACCTTCAGTTGTTTTTTGTTGTTAGGGCCCGGCATGGCCAGGTGGGTAAGACGCTCGACTCGCAATCTGCGGGTCGCGGGTTCGCACTCCCATCCCACCAAACATGCTCGTCCTTTTAGCTGTGGGGACGTTATAATGTGACGGTCAATCTCACTATTCGTTGGTAAAAGAGTAGTCCAAGAGTTGGCGGTGGGTGGAGATGACTAGCAATTAGGGGATGGTTGGCGTCAGGAAGGGCATCCGGCCGTAAAAACCCTGCCAAAACTGAAAATAGCGACCCCGTATAGATACGGGAAGAAGTTGTTGTTTTTTTGTAGTTTAAACACAAACTATACGATGGGCTATCTGTGCTCTGCCCACCATGGGTATCAAAACCAGGTTTATAGTGTTTAAAGTCCGCAGACATGTCGCTGTGGGGCATGACCTTCAGATGTTTATCAGGATATAACTAAGCAGACACGTTCTTTGAAATGAACATCATTTATACAACCAGTTAAGCTTCTGCTTAAAGAATTGGTTTCTGAATAAAAAATCAATTTAGGGTTCAAAAATGGGTAAAAAAAATATATCATTAAGAATTTGGCAGTACCCAGTGATTTACGTGCCGGACTGTGAATCTATCTGTGGTTCCTCGAAGCTTTTACTAACACGTATAGGGTTGAATACATTATATTAAAACCATTTTGAATATAGATATCAGCAAATCACCATAGCCAAATATAAAGTTGCAGTGGTACAGAATGTATCAAAACTACATTATGCCAATGTTTGGCATTTTGTAGGTAGTGTAATTCCACTGAAAATTGATCGCGTTTAGGAAGGATATGTAAAATATGGATCAATTTGGGGAAGCAGGACCGTCCAGAAAGAGACCTTCAAAAAATCATACTCTGTTGTGGTAAGCAAAGTGCGGCGCCTTCTGACAATTGAAGGTCCACGAACACAAAGGTCAGTGGCAAAAGCCGTCTATGAGACAACCGTAGGAAATATTATCAAGAAGAATCTTCATCTGGAAACGAAGCCAACAGGGTATGGGTTCAAAAAGGTAAGACTTTCAGTCATACCTTCCAATCAATCGTCAAATACCTCAAGCAGCTGGTGAATGAAACTGGTATTCACATGATTTCATATGGAAACATATAGGTCAAGTAGTTAGATGCAGCACCTATGAATATTTGTGCGATTGGGCTGTTGAAACGAACGCTAGGGAACTGCATTCTCTTACGCAAGATGGATTATGGAAAGCAGTTTAGGGAGGATTGTTGTGTTTTGGGCATGAAAGTTTTCATCAGAACCTTTTTCAATGGGAACTACAATACAAAGATATTATCAAAATGCATAGTCGTCAGATTGAGCATGACCGGACGTGGCGACGTGGACTGTAACGACATGATGAGGCTCCAAAATCGTCTTAATGTAACGTAAAAACACTTCTGTATAACTAAATGGTGATAAAATATTTAAGTTTGCCGTTT